GTCGGATTTGGTTTGAAGTTACTCCTTGCTGCTGAGGGGAGGGGGTCCCTGGAGACTCCCCCCAGCACAGGGAACCCCCCCACACTTCCCCTGCAGCACCCCCACAATGGGAGGGACCCCCCAAAATGCTCTTCCAATGGAGAATGTGCCTGACTTTGGCTGAGGCCCCCAAAACTCCCCAGAGACCCCGGGGTGGGTCAGGTCTGATATCTCTTTAGAGACCTGAATTGGGGGGAGTCACCCCAAATTTCGTGTGGTTGTTTTGTTAAATGGTGAGGGGACATCCTGTTTTTTTACTTACCTGTCTCCAAAATTAGGGATCCCCCAATTTCCCCTCAGGCCCCCCCAAAGGAACCCCCCCATTTCTTCCCGCTTGGGCTTTGGGGGCTCTGAACTCTTTTGCCTGCAGAGCTCAGGGTGCCCTCCAAGGTTCACAGATCCCCCCCTAAAAGGGCCCCCCATGACACCAAGGGGATCCCCCAATGTGTTCCCATCCCCCCAAAGGGGAATTCCCACCCCCACAAATTTCCCCCTGTCCTGGGGCTGTTGTGGGTCCAAACTTTTTCCCTCACAGAGCCCCAGAACTCTGGAGGGCCCCCCAATATCCGTGCAGCCCCCCAACCCTGGGGGAGCTACAGAGATGTTGGGGAGGACCCCCATGCCCCAAACACCTGGGGGGGAACCACAGATCCTTCCTAGCCCCCAAAATTGGGGGTGGGACGTGGGGTGGAGTGTGGGCTGGGGGTCCCTGGAATGGGGGCATTCTTGGGGGGCTGGGAGCCAGGCTGGGGAGTTGTGGGGGCCATGCTGTGCCCCCCCATCTGTTGTTATGTCTCACCATCTCCCACCTTTGGGGGTTCCTGGGGGGCTGTGTCCCCCCCACTCTCTCTTGTCCTCTCAGTACGTTTCCCTGTCCCAGCGGGTGCCTTTGCTGGACCAGTTCCATGCTCTTGTGGCCAAGGCCAGCCTGGGGTGTCCCCTCCATCTCTGGGGGTTGCTGGGGGGCTGTGTGACCCCCCCAGGTTGTGTTTCCCCCCCCAGTGTGAGCTGTGCCCTGACTGGACCTGCTGGGCGGGTTCCACGCACTGCTGGGCTGGGTCGGGGTGTCCCCCCGTGGCTGTGGGGATTCCTGGGGGGCTGTGTAACCCCCCAGTCCGTGCTGTGACCCCCCCACTGTGTGTGTGTGCCCCCCCAGTGCGAGCTGTACCACTGGGTGGACCTGCTGGACCGGTTCGACGCGCTGCTGGCCGAGGCGGGGCGGCCGGTGGACACCATGAGCTGGATGCTGAGCTGCGACCGGCCCGAGCGGCAGCCCCTGAAGGCCCTGCTGCTGGCCCTGCTCAACTTCACCGCCCTGCTCATCGAGTACAGCTTCTCCAGGCACCTCTACAGCTCCATCGAGGTGGGGGCACCCCGAAAACCCTGCAGTGGGGGGCTGGGCGTGACCCCCCTCTGGGCCTGATGCGCCATGTCCCGGGGAACGGGGCTGTGTGACCCCCCCCTGTCCTTATTCCTGACCCAACACGCCCCCACAGCACCTGAGCGCAGTCTGGGGGTCCTGGGGGTCTGTGTAACCCCCCATCCCCATCCCCATCCCCATCCCTGACTGTCCCTGACCCCCCCAGCACCCGAGCACCCTGCTGCCCTCCTCGGACATGCCCGTGGTCCTGGGGGTGTTGGGAGCTGTGTAACCCCCCTGTCTGTGTCCCACCGTGTTCTGGGGGTCTCTGTAGCCCCCCCTGACCTCCCCTGTCCCACCTCAGCACCTGACCACCCTGCTGGCCTCCTCGGACATGCACGTGGTCCTGGCCGTGCTCAACCTGCTCTACGTGTTCAGCAAACGCTCCAACTACATCACCCGCCTGGGCTCCGAGCGCAGGGGGCCCCTGCTCGCCCGGCTGCAGCACCTGGCTGAGGTGGGCAGGGGTCCTGCAGGGCTTTGGGGGGTCCT